GCAGAGCTGTCTGCCCTGCTGGAAAGCTATCCCCCCCCACCCCCGACCGCAGAGATGCGGCGCACCGCGTGTCGGCCTCGATATCCCCCCCGGGAAGCGCAGACAGCAGAGGACAGTTCCCGTCAGCAGTAAATGACCCGTGTGATTTAGCTGTGCACGGCGTCCCCCGGTGGCTCAGGCGGGAGCCGCTGTCTCCCCGTGCCCTGCCGCTCTGGGACAGCTTCCTCCAGCTGACAGCCGGCCGCGGACTCTGCTGTTAGTGTGCCAGCCCGTCCACGGCCCGGTGCCTCCGCTCCTAAGGCAGGAGGGAGCCGCTCACTAGCATATTTCTATTTCTTAGACCACATGCACATGTGATACTTGGCAATTTTCCATTTAACTGACATATTTAGATTGGAAGGAAACTTGTCAGGGGTCAGAATGGGAAATTACCTTGTAATAGGCTGACCGTGTAACTCGCCTCAATGAAAATATAACCACCCATAATTTTAGCTTTAGGGGGGGTCACCTTGCCATTTGGAGGTCAGAGAGGTCAGTTTGAACGCCTTAGGATTGACGTCTAAATACTGACATGAATGTACAGTATATTGAATGCACATATATACCCTGACTTCACGGTTTGGAATTGCACTGTGAACTGCAGACTTCAGTCTAGTTTTCTTGTGGTTCAGATCCTGACAGCGGCGCTGTCCATCATAAGACACCGTGTGGTCGAGCTCGTGCCTTTCCTGCTTCTTACGATGTCTAGCTTAAGCATTGCCAGTTCTCATCTGCTGCTGGCAGGAATCGCACCAAGAACGATGGGACGCTTGCTGTGAAACAACGCTTTGTTCCACTCAGACTCTCCCACCACTCCCCATTTGAGGCCTCCTGCTCCTGAATGTGTTCTGTGGCTGAGCCAGTTGTTGCTTTTGACCTTGTGTTCCTCCCCCATGCCCCACCCCACAGGATTGGGTATTTGTGGCCCCGTCGTCTGTGTTTCAGACCAAAGAGATTTAGTGCCTATCCTGGTACTGCAAACCCTTTCAGACTAGAAATCATTCTTGTCTCTCTTGACTGAACTTGCGCTAATATAGTGGTATCCTCTTCGCAGTCAGGGCGACCGGCATCGAGCACGCTATTCTGCATGAGGTTTTACTGCTTTTTATGGTTTCAGCATGATGTCCTTGGAATTAAAATCCACTCAGCATATCCGAGTGCGGTCATTATTTCCTGACTGCTTCATCACCTGAGATGTAGACAGCAGCATCTGTTTAAATGTCCATATCTTCCCTGGAAAAAGGCTGCTTTTATCTCTGACTTGGCCCATATAGCACCGGTAACATACATTTCCTCACTCAGAAGTAAATAACTCTGCATTTATTCTCTGTGCCAAGTGACTGGCCACTCCATAATTTAAAGTAGTGCTTTTTGTAAGATATCTTGTGTCTTCTATACCATTTTTTTAAAGAAATGTAATGCATTTATGCAGTAATCTAGATTCTGTTTTTGACTCTGAAGATTATTGGCCCATGTTCAGAGCCTTGTGGCACTCCATCGATTATATTGGTCTGACTGTAGATTGTACCTATTATAATGATACATGGCTTACTGATTTTCTAAATGTTTTATTGATTTGTGATTAAGAGGAGCTTAAACTTTAGAACAGTTTTTTTTTTTCCCCCTCTCCAGCTTTTTGGACCTCTGTCAATCTGCAGTCTTACTCGTCTTTCCCCATCGACACTTTTGTAAATCCGACATTTATGAATCATAAATGGGAAAAACATTTTAACGATTAAAGACTTTATTTCAGGAAACTTGCAGTTTTTTTTTTGTGCCTCCAGACTACTGCAGGCTTCGTTTAGAAATTTACTTTTTACTAGATGGAACTGTGAAGTAGCCAAATGATGTTTCTGAATTCGATCGAGGCTGGAGGTGGGAAACGCCAAACCTCAGGGTATCCTCATACACCTGTACTATCTCCATTGCCTTCTCCAGGCCTGTGATTTTAGCCTAATTCCCTAGAAGTTTAATCTAATTGTAGCACAATGCTGACGCAGGGCCAATTTTAATGAGATTTCAGCTGAACTCTGCAGGAGGAGTGATCCCTCAGTAACTGTCGAGGTCATTGCTAAGAGTGTTGAGTTTTGAACAGCTGTTCGTTTTGGAGCCACACCAGTAGCAGTGATGTGTGGGAAAAAGCCTCCAAACCACATCGGATTGGCTGTCGTGCACCGTCACTCTAAATACACCCACTTCCCATTGGGATCAAGTAATCAGTGTGTCGTAATTCCCACCTACTGTGAGTTGCAGACCCTCCTATCATTTATCATCTGTAGTGGTTAGCATAATAGTCGTGTTCTTCATACTGGAACTGGCTGATAATGTAACTCCAAATAATTCAAATTCGTGGTTTATTTACCCCATTATAATGGCCGATGATTCTCTCAAATGGTTTTTATCCTTGGCACCCTCCTGTAAGATTGAATGCTTTTTGGGGTGGGGGGATTCCCAGGGGCAGAGTTGCTGCAGAGTACCGCATTGAAGACGTTAGATTCCCATTCTGCAGCCCGTAATTGTTCCCCATCAGTGTGCTAATTGGCTTTTAATAACGCTATTAAATTAAGGTTGTACATCATATTTATGAACACATGGCACTAAGAGCAACAGGGGGGAATCTCTGTTTGTTATTGGGCTTTACTTATGTGTTTGTTTGCAGCATTTTTAATTCACGAAGATCATATAAAGTAGATGTTGCAATTCACATTGAACTCTTGAAGCTAAGTTCCGATTTTGATTTTTTTTTTTATTATAATGACCTCTTGGCCAATTACAGCAGTGTGGGCGGGGCTGGTAACCATGACACTGTGGACTTCCTGCCCCCACAGGATGTTCTTGCGTATGCTGCCAGGACGGCCTTGATTAGATAAGTGGAAATGCTGAATTTGTGTTCTCCCGTTGGCCAGCGCCCACAGAGCTCCCCGTAGGACTGCTGATGGAGGCATAATTGAGCAGCCAGCGTGATTATTGATACGTCGCAAACAGCCTCTTTTAATCATATTACAGGCAGGGCTCCTCGCCAAGCTAAGTGCCAGTGTCTGAGGCTCACCAGGGGCTAGAAGGACACGATGCCCCCAGCCCACGTTAACCGTTGGAGGTTCCGCTGGCGGCCATGCCAGAGGGCTCTCTACTTTGGGATGGGAGCTAATCGACGGTTCCGCCTGTCTTTTTGGCCCCGGTTCAATCCGGTCCTTGTATTGGTCCCTCATCCTACTCCCTCCCGCAGCCAAAGGGAAAACCGTAGATCCATCTGCGGGACATGGACGGACTCCTAAGGGCAGTGTGACTCGGCATCTCTAACCTAGCCAGGCATAATTCTCCGACGTCCGCCATAAAGCCACGTAATCGGACCGCATTCTCCATGTTCTTGATGCGTTCCCATGTGCAGTGTCTCTGCTTCGCTTATGCATCACCGTGTCATAATTATGGCAAGGAATTTCTGTTCTTAGTTTGCTACTAGTGATTTAAGTGGGTTAGTCAGTCTGTGTCGAGCCCTTCATGGGCATAAATTACGTAATGAAAACCAGCCAGTGGAACCCCTTAAATGGGTGGAGACCTCAATCCCCCAGTGCCCTACTCATATTTACCCCCTTGTGTAGCCACTAGGGATACCTTCCTCTGGGTGAAGGTGTCATTCATGCCCCTGAATGGCATGGTATGTAATTACAGGGACCCCAACACCCAGTCTGTAGTTTTAATACGGTGGCACCCAGGTTCCATTCAGATTATTGTCTGTATGTATTTTGATTTCAGCAGCTTCTAGAGCACTTTCCAGTTTCGTATAATTATGAAAACACAGAACAGGCAGTATTCTTGTCACAATGCTGTAGTCATCTGCTTTAAGAAGTACAGAAAGGTCACAAAGTCGCACCTTTTTGTTTTTGCAGCAATACGCTCCATTCGCTCAGCAGTTTCGGTCTTGGTGAAAGAGCTGTACTTAATACTACTTTTTTTTTTTTAAATTCCCAATTCCCAGCATGCTTTGCAGTGCTCTTTCTCTTGCTGTAATGAAGTCGATAAAAAATTACATAATGATCAGTCCGGCCGCTTGTGGCCTGTCCTGATAAGGATTCGCTCCGTAGGTTGGCGAGGGGTGATAACACAAGGGTCACGATGGGATACAGGGCCGCCTTTCAACAGGGGCAGGTTAAGTCGGCGTGTAATACGGATTTCTGCATGGTTGCATGGGACTCTTGCAACTTATGTGTCCAAAGACATTTTTGCACTGTTGATTTCCTGTGAAATGTCTGTTGTGTTCTTTATTCTCATGTGTATTGCACAGTGAAGTGTTTCACTGAAGTATGTCTTGTAATATGGTCCTGTTCCTCGTGTTTGGCATTGAGCTACAACCTATTCTGGTATGTTTGCACACACTGGCAATAAAGTATTCTGAGATCTGAATTTTATTGGCGAGGGAATATGTGAATGTTATCTAATGGACATTTATTGCAATAAAAGGATGTTCTTGGACTGACTGCCGTGTTGAGCCACCTTGAACATTTGATGGTTATTGGTCAACTATGTTGCTTCTCTGCTCATTGACTCAGCCAGCTGCAGTTGTCTGAAAAATGTTTTGGGTCTTCCAGAGTTTTTCATTTTCTCTGTTCTGTCTTTCTAAGAAGAGTAGCCTGAAAATGAAGTTTGCAGGATCTGTCAGAAGCCCTTGAAATACCATTACCATACATCATATTGATGCTATTGATTTTTTTTTTGGCAATAACATGATTACATTTATTAAAGTGTCGACATTATGGGTTTCAGGTGTTTAGTGGAATCTCGGTTTTTCTGTCATCATTCATGCTCCGAAATTAAAATATAGTTTAATTTTAATTGACAAAATCCAGTTGAGGCAAATTTATCGCAGTATTTAAAAGACCTATTGGTTTGGGGCTAATTGTGTAAACTCAGCTAATGTTCCAGGGCACGGGGTCACGTGTGCTTTATTTCCTCCTGCCCCCCAGCCGCTGTGCCGACATGCCCCCAGAGCTCTCTGCCCTGGGGCGCGGGGCCAGCATTCGCAGGCGGCGCCACCGGAACGCCCGTGGACGGGACAGGAGAGCCTGGCGCAGGACGACCCCGAGATGTGGGAGTTGCTCCGGAGGGAGAAGGACAGGCAGTGCCGGGGTCTGGAGCTGATCGCCTCGGAGGTCAGCAGTGCCGGGGTCTGGAGCTGATCGCGGGTGGCGCCTGCCGTGAGGCCGGGGCTGTGAGACGGGGGCACAGAGCCACGTCTGCTCCATGGGCTTCTCTGAACGTTTTTATTAAAAAGCAGAAAAAAATAAACTCCCCGGATCAGATTTCCAATTCTAATGCGGCTCAGGTCCCAGCTTAGTAGACCAGTGCAGGAGCGAAAATGTTACCTGCTTCACTGACTCCCCCCCCCCCCCCCCC